TCTGTCGACTCATTCCAGATAAACCCTAATTCCATCCGTTCATCCAATTTGTACAAGCCGCTGGTCATCATCTTCCGCCGACCACCTCCTTCAAGGACCTCATCAGCTCCGCTACCTATTCGGCCTCCGAAGACGCCATGAATCCCGCTAAATACCGTTACCTCTGAAACGTCCACTGATGACGCCGATCGTTTAGCCCGAACTCTCCTTCAACGACGAAGCTCTACCATCTCTCTGGACTCTCCTTCAACGACGAAGCTCTGCCATCTCTCTAGACTCTCCTTCAACAACGAAGCTTGAAGGTAAAATCCACATATATTAATCGCCATCTTGTCTCATCCTTGCTTAATCAAAAGGATTTCTCAGGTCTTCAAGGAATCTCTGGTGCTAAGGCGCACCAACCCGCTTGAGAACAGAAGGTATTTAGAAATCTTTGTGTTTCTCCTGACATTTTGGCTCAAATTCATAGTTTCATACTCCAAGACCTAATCTTTTTGCCTTTGAATCGCAATTTTTCCTCAGCAGCACTGAATCCAAAGGTTTTTCACGTTTTCAAGGAATCTCTAGAGCTTTGATTATGGAACACCGGTTGGTTTGTTATTTTTCTGCCCAAAAATTGTGTGTCTGCAGATTTTTTTGGTTGTAGGTGGCAGTGTTTATGATCAGATTGCAAGGTTGCTCTTTTCCATAACTGAGCAAATGCAGGGGTCTAGTATGATCAATTGGAAGTTCTACTTCCTCGTGGTCTGATATTAACTCTGTTATTTTCCATAATCGAGCAATATGGCTTAACATTTGCTATCTCAGGATAGACTTTTTATCCAGAAACAACTTATAGGTAACTAGATTCTTACCTATTTACGAATTCTAAATGATAACTAAATTGTTTGTATTTCTGGTTTTTCGAATTGAACAGAGGTCATTGTTTTTTCTAAACGATCTCTGCAAAACCCCAATTAATGGGCTATTAGCTGGCTTGGTTGATGAAAATAACCTTTTTCTAATGGAGAATAACGATTACCCATTGTGGTGCGCAGTCCAAACTTTAAATCAATTTACCTGAAATATACCCATGCAGGTGTTATGGACCTATGGTATATTTACCCCTAATTTGAGCAACACTTCAGATGTTTAAAATTAACATATTTTGATTGATTCTCGATCAATTCTCTAGATTGTTTAATATTGTTGTTTTCTTTTACAGATTGGACAAATGGTTGGATGAAGTTTATAGAATACTGAAGCCTGAAAGGATTCGACTAGTTTCTATTTATTTCTGTTTTATTATTTACTATCACTAGAATATTAGTGGCTTTATCTAGTTGTATAAAGCAGAACAGGGAGAAAACATTTTTGTTATTTACTGTGGTATATTCTAGTATGGATTTTTCTAATATGTGCCATGAACACATCATAAAGAATGAGTGATAAAGAATGCTATAAGTTTAGGACAATATAAGTGCAATTTAAAATATGACTACATTCATTACCAAACTACAAACATTATATCACATTATAAAAATTAATTTCAGAATCTCTGAGCATTATATATACTCATAGTTTGCTTCTCTTAATGTGCCCATGAGCACACTATAGGAAAATCCATGTAGGTAACTTGGCCTATGGACTGATTAGGAAAGACATCATTTTTTCAATTGTACAAGTGGGAGAATCTGTGTTTGACAATGCTAATTAAGGAACTTCTTTAGTGGTTGTTGCTGAGTTTTTTGTTCTTTCTTTGCATTGATATTATACCCATTTGGCTTTTTTGTGTAATCATTATAGCTTTGCTGGAAGAAAAGAGGCATTGGTGCATCAACACCCACACAGACTCTCTATTAGTTTTTATATTTTTCTAACTTGCTTGTTCGTTGTCTACTGTCTACGGATTAATCATGGTTTATGCAGATCAAAACCATTTCTAGTAAGAATAAAGGGTACTATGCCGATACAACTGTAGTTACATACGGCCGTAATTTGGTTTTGCTTAGATATAAGTCTGTGAAACATAAATGTGTGTGATATGTCTCATCGTTTCAGGATCATTTCAGGTGTTGCAAAACTAGTAAGATGACTATGTTGTATCAGTTTTGGCCATGTGACTGTGTGAGCCCTTTTCTTTTTGTACAACCTTTGCTTTGTTAATTCTCCACTTTCTTCTTAATGAAATACAAAGTACTCCGTATTTGTTTTTTTGTGGCTTAGTTGTTTGAATCTAGTAGTAATAACATAATTTGGTTTTGCTTAGATACAAGTCTGTGTAACATCTACTCTGTTGTTTTTAATTTTATTTAAGATCAGAAATTCTTAAAATTATGTTTCTACTACGGTCTGTGAGATTATTGGTTTTTTTTCTTATAATGGGTTGTCCGGCTTAAACATATTTGCGGTTATAGATTTTATTTCTCATTCATAAACACACATGGTCTTGAGTTGAATAAAAGTTTATTTGACTACTTGAACATTTATGTGTGTAGTAACATGTGAGAGTGGTATTGAATATATAGCTTTAATTTGGTTTTACCTTCTTTTGAACTATCTTTTGGTTTAGATAGCATAACAAATGTTGCTGATTTGTGCTAGGCTCTTTGTAGTCTACATTGTCATGTATACTACCTAGAAATTGTTAGGAAAATGTGACTTTTGAGGATATTTTTATGGTGATACAGTGGTTTACTTTGTTAATGTATTAGTTTTTTCTGTATGTTATTTTTATGCAGATTGCATATCTCAAGTCTTTTTTTGTGGGTGTAATTTTTGGATCTTAATCCGTACTAAATAGCCTAGATTTAATTCTAGTTAATAGTTCATTCTTGTTTCAATATAATTTATTTAGACATTGCATATCATTGAGTAATCTCACTTTAAACTTTGCTATTTGGTTCAGGTATAACTATTAGTGGAGGGAAGCTAGATGACATCGTGTTGAATATCCAAGATGTAGAGAATTATATATTTGAGTCCATATGTATATTTATTTGCATTAAAGTGCTTGAATACTTGTGTACTAAACAATTTGGATTATATATTAAATGAAAAAAGTTGATTTTAATTGTTTGTTATTTCCAATCATTTGCAGTATATGCTTAGCTATATCAGTGATTGATTATCATATTATTAACAAATAATATATATATATATATATATATATATACACACACACACACACACATAATTGTATTAATTAAACATATAATGATACCAATATGGCAATATGTCATCATTTTGTATGATACTAAGGTGTCATAAAGTTTAACAATGTTATCGTATCATAGTATTTCGTGATACTATGGTGTCGTGATTTGTTGACAGTTTCTCGGTGACACTAAATTTAGTGTCAGCATTCCCTACCTTCTGCGACGTTTCTCGTGTGTCACAAAAACATTCTGTGACACTAAATTATATATAATTGATGTATGCAATAAATATTATTGTACATACACGATTGTATTATTTGGGTCCAAAAATCAATTAATTGTATACAAGAGTTAACATCGATCTCAATTAAATTTTGAGATCGTGACTCGGTTTAACAAATGGTAACCCTATTACATATAATTGAAGCAATTGTGATGACCCATTGGTAAACTCATATCACTAATGTGACATGGTGTATGAGAAAATTACGGATAAAAAATACACAACCGAGTCTTCTATGTTAACCCATAGAAGACCTATGTACAGTCACTTGGTGTAAAATGTATAAATGGTACCGTATAAAACTAATAGTGTGGACATATGATTTCATTCGAAATCGTATACTTGATTTCGAATGGGTTCCCAAGTATTAATCCCTCAAACCAATGTGTTTTATTACCATCCAATGTTTATTTAAACGATGGGATTAGTAATCTAAGCCTGTGTATACTTAAACACGATGGCTTAATTGTTGGCTCTATCCTTCCAAAACCTATGTGTTGATCGTATTTCTCCTAAGTTGACTTCGTTGACCATCTAGCCCCGATAATTGACCTGCAAAATAATCACTAAAAAGAACTAAAAATATATTAGAAGCTCGAGACGCGTCAGACGCTGTCCTAAGGAATTATTTCCGGCTTCACTACAAGAATTTTGACTAAATGTGACAAAAAAAGTGTCACTTAAGCTTCAATTTTTGTCACTAAAACTTTTATATGACGACTTATGTTTGTCACAGTGTTCGTCACCGCAGCTCCGTGGCAAAAGATATATGTGACACTTTCTAAATTTGTCACCATACATCTAAGTTTTTACGACGATTTAGCACTTTGTCACCATTACTTATCAATTTTAGTGACAACATATGTGTCACTTTAACATCGATATTTTCGTCATCAAAGTTTAAATTTTGTCATCTTTGCTTAGCACATTTGATGACGACCTATTATATTGTCAATAAAATGTATCATATAGTGACAACTGACATCATTCTATGCAAAATAAATTAGTTATAGTGACAATGAAATTGTCATAATAAAGTCACATTAATCGTCATAGTTAAAGAAAATTGTCATCAATTATCGTTATTTTTATTACAAATTTTGTTTGTCACTTAAAAGGTATTTATGTTGACAATATATATAGTGTCATCTAAAATATAAATAATGACAAAAGTAAAGTTGTCAATAAAAGATTATATTTGGTGATGAAACTAATCGTCACTTTTATGCTTAAAAAGTGACAATTATATATTTGTGTCATCATTAAAAATTAATATCGTGACAAATCGATTGTCACAATTTATACTTTTGAGTGACAAATAAATTATTGTCAAAATAGATTAATTAATCCATGACAACAAAAGTAGTCATAAAATATTAAATAAAATGACTAAGGTGAATTTGTCATTATATGAGTACATAAAGTGACGCCTATTTATTGTGATTAAATCATATTTCTTCATTAATAATAATAGTATTTATGCGAAGATTTAAGTGTCACTATTCCAGTTTAAACCTTGACACTTATGAAATGAATAAAGCTCAGAGTTCTCCAACTGATATCAAACAATATAAAAGCATCCAAACATTTAGTAATAGAACTTCTGTAATTAAAAAAAATTATTCTTAATACCACTAACATCAAACTTCAGTGTCTTATGAGAATAAGACATAATATTCAAGATACGTGAACATCCAAATCATTCCAATACCTAATGTAAATATCAAATAATGAGAAAAAATAAATGAATATTTAAATAACCTAACTTAAGGCTTATAAAGGCATTCCTTGAACAGCCATAAACGCCATTATCTTTTCCATGTTTGAAGCTTGTGCAGCTAATTGATTTCTCAAACAAGCACTTCCTTTTCAGTATCTTCCACTTTAGCGTTAAGCCCGCCAACTTGTGATTCAGCCATTTCTAACTTTTGTTGGGACTCTTGAAGTTGTTTTTGAAGTTGTTGGGTGGCATATGAATTAGGACTATTGTTGCGTCTGCTAACAGGTTTAGGACCATATCCAAGGCCTTTGATGTAGCCAGCTCCATGACCAAGAACCTCAAGAACAATATCATCTGTACTCTTATCACATCCCTCTTCTTTATATTGTTCTTGTTTCTTTTTCATCAACTCCTAGTCAAACACATTGATGCAAGGTAGATTTAAATTTTTTCAAATAAAACAGGTTGGAATAAAAAAGAAAGATCAGATTAGTATATCTATATATATAATACCCAGTTCTCTTCTGCTACTTTAGATGACCAACCATTTTTCTCTGAGAAATGAGTTCGTTTATAGAGCTCAATCCTATCACAGGTATCTCCATCTAGCTCCTTTTGAGACTGAAAATGATTTGAATCAGAATGGATAACAAGGTACTGATTAACATAAAATGCTTTTCAAGACAGGAAACATTAAATGGTTTGGTACACTTGTTTCATTTTCCAGTAACAACGTAACTAGAATCTCAATAATACATCACCATTTAACAGCAGTAACCACAACACAGGTTTAATCATGAACAATAACCATAACACAAGTTTAATCTAACAAGTACGTGCATACTTTTTTATTCACGGGTCAAAAAGAAGAATTCAAATTTAATGAATCATTAGCCAATTTTACACTATTTTGACTAAAAATAAAACAGGAGTAATGTTCTGGCCACATTACCCATAATTATCCCAATTCTCATAAACAAAGATTTCTTCATAGGCAGAGACATGAAAACTCAAACATCAAAAGTGGAGACTTTATGTCATTCTGTTTAGAATTTTTTTATATCTTCCTTGTAATCCAAGACCAGGGTTCAATTTTCTCAAAAACTTAATATTATCAAAAGTAATAGTTTTTTTATGTCATACATCTTTCATACATGCTTCCACTAGCTAAGAACTAATTCACACAGCTTTTGAAAAATCAATACCCTGTGATAGTATGGATCTAAGCAACATAAATACAACCTTATCACCAAATGATCATGATCAGATACTTTTTTCTTTTTTCTGTACATTAAACGAGTGAACTTTCAAAAGAAACAACAATCAATACATAATAAAACTCTTCATATAAATCAAAGCTTTATTTGAATATAATTGTTTTATTTTGACTCACAATTTCTTGTCTTCAGACAGTGAAAGGCGTCCTACCAGAAATATGTGGAGCTCGCACAAGTTTCCTATTTTTTGAGTTCGTAGCACTTGATTGCTACACACACAAACAGATTAAATTCAGTTATTTGAATATGAAAATATTACCTTCTACCTTGAATGTTTCAGGTTCCTTACCTTGAATTTGGGTGATGCAAAATAATCACACAATGATTCCCAATTTTCTTGGTTTAGGCAAAATGTGGGCTTATTACTTTTAGCCAATTCCATTGTTTGATACTTTTTGAAATGGTTATGTAGCTTGTGACGCTTTTGTCGAGAACTATTTTTCAACCTTTCAATCAAGCTTTCTTTAACACCCGGATCACCAACATTGACATCCATATGCATCTGCAAGTTTCAAGTACATATTTTAGATTGAAAGAGAATTGAAGTAAAGTAAATTGTTTTTATCAGTAACTCTACCTGTATGTGATCAAATCCAGGTCCTAGACCATTTTCCTCATCTACTTCTTTCCACCTTCTAGGAACCGGAATCACATCACAAGTCACAATGCCAATTTGACTAGACAGCTTTGCTGACTGCTCACCATTTTTAGGTCTTCCAATGGATGTATCCACAGTTATCTTCATCTTTGTCTTGGATGCCTCAAACGCCTTCATAATGCCCTTTCCCATTGTCTGACCCCGACCTCTTTTCTTGGAGCGAGGAACTATATGGATCATAACAATGCACAGAAAAAATAGAGATTTTCATGTTAGCCTAACAATATTATTCATATTCTACGGTCATGATAGGTACCTCCTTCGAGGTGGGTTTCTGGTGATGTAATATGAGGACTGCAATTTGCTGCACTTTCATGACTTTGAATTGATAGAGTATCCTCTCGCTCCGGATTTTTGTGACGGAATTTAGTGGCGGATATGAGTGTGCCGGGAAACTTTGACGAAAATTAGTGGCGGAATGCCGTTTGTCGCAGATTTTTGGCGGACTGATTCCGCCACCGGTTCGTGGCAGATATTTGTGGCGGACTCCTTTTTCACACTAATTGGAGGCGGTATTTAGTGACAGAAGAAGTCGCCACTAAATAGCAACGGAAATATTCGCCACTAAATTCTGTCACTAAAGTAAAAATTTACTCTAAATTGGACTAAAAACGTTTGTAAATTCCAAAATGGGACTGTCATGTTTTTAATTCTCAAAATATGACTAATTATTGTCATGTTTTGGCAGTATCAGACTTTAGACATGACAGTATTTTCCAAACTTGACAATAATTACTCCTATTTTGAGAATAAAAACATGACAATCCTATTTTGGAATTTACAAACGTTTTTTTTTATCTCATTTCAGGAAATTTCCCTATTAATTTTTTACTCACCAACACATTCTATCTGTCATTTTCTCTCTACAAACTTTACTCCCCATGTTCAAACGGCTTTAAAGTAAGAATTTATTTATTTCAAAATGAAAATAAAATTTTTGTGCACTTTATCTTGTGCTTTTAACCAATTAAATTCAAGATTACATCCTTTAACTCATTCTATTTATTTTTTTGTTTGAAATAATGACGCATAATGAGTTCATATATGTTTTTTTATAAAATATATGTGTGTTTATGTTGTTTGTCTTTGAAGTTTGCCGGTCTGGTCTGAACTGATCTGGTAAATGTTTGGTCTATGTGTATTTTATAACTACAGTTGTCTGTTCTGGTTTGGTCTGAACTGGTCTGGTTTGGTCTGGTCTATGACTGAAAACAGTGCATGTAAAAACATCCTTAGTGATAGAGTATAATTCCAACTGCAAGAACTAATCTATCAATTTATTTGATATGGTAAGAAAGTAAATGATTTGGCAGCGTAGAGCAATATTATTATTCAGGAAGGACTGTACTAAAAAATGTATTCCGCGCAAGTATATTAGCATAATCATGGATATGTATGAGGATTGCACTACTAGTGTCTATATTTTTGTAGGGAGGACTGTAGAGTTTCATATTACTATCAGAGTGTACCAAGGATCGGCTTTGAACCGTTTCTTATTAACCATAGTCATGGATGAACTTCAGCGTCAATTCAAGACGATATATCGAGGTGTATGATATTTGCCGACAATATTGTATTGATTAATGAGACGCAAATGGCTGTCAAAGCAAAGTTGGAAGTATGACGCAAACATTAGAGAACAAGGGTTTCATATTGAGTTGAAGCAAGACCGAGTATATGCAGTGCGGTATGCTGGAGGTAGAAGCAGTGGTAATAACGAGATTATTCTAATGGTAAGGAAATCCTGGTTAGTGATATGTTTCGTTACAAGGGCTCCATAATTTAGAAATATGGTGAATTAGATGGAGATGTATCTCATATAATTAGAGCATGATGGATGAAATTGAAGAGTGCCTCAAGATGTTTGTATGATCAAGGCATGTCGACTAAACATAAGGGTAAATTTTACAGGATAACGATTGGGCATGCATTACTGTAGGGAGTAGGATGTTGGACGGTGAATAATGTTACATTCGAAATATGAGTGTGACTGGTATGCGCATGCTGAGTTGGATGTAAGGATATACTCGAAAGGGTGCTTGATGAATGAGGCAATCGGACAAGCGGTAAGAGTAACACCTATTGAAGATAAGATGCAGAGTTCCGCTTGCGGTGGTTTGGTCATGTGCGTAGAAGATCGGGTGATGCATCTGTCAGACAAGTTGATAGATGCAGAGAAGAGGCAAAGAAGAAAAGGAGAAAAAGACCCAATCAGACATGGTTCCAATTTCTTGCATCGATTCATGTTAGCTTATCTCTTTTTATATTATCTTTGTAATTATAACTTATCATTTTATTTTTCTTATTTTTTGTTTCCTTTTTTGGTTCTGATATCCTGTATCGATTCATCTTAGCCTTCTCTAAATTTGTTTAGGACTAGGACTCAAATTTTGTTTTATTTGAGCAAGTGTTTTTTCATAGGCATGTCAATGAGACGGATTCATGTTAAAGGTCCTGAACAAGTATACCTGATAGGGCTGAAAATTTGGATCCAGACTCGGACTCAAACGACCTCGAAGCTAGGTTGTGTAGATGCGCCAATTATGAGATACACAACATTATAAACTTTGTGAAAATAACAAAATATAAATATGAAGTGTGAAGCAAAATTTTAAATTTCCTCCCTAAATAATTTCACCGGACTTCCATTTCCTCCATGCTTCTTTAGAAATTTAAATTTCCTTCAGTTTGATCAATTCAGTCAGAAAAGTTCTCTGACCTTATTATGAACTAATTATTACATAATTAGTTCACGCGCTAAATTGCGTAATCATAAGAAAAAGTAAGGTTAAAGTTACTTTTATAATTGTATTGACTGCAGTTATTGTAGATGATCATTTTAGCTATTATTTCATATAATTTTATTTTATTTTATTAATAAAATACAATTTGAATATAAGTGATGCATAATGTATCCGGGGGTAGCTTATCCGAAAGTAAAAACTGTGTAGTAGATATGTATGCAGAAGAGAGAGAAATAACATAAATCATAATTAATTGATCAAAAGAAAAAATGACAAAATTTTTGAAATAAGAAAATTTTGACAAAGTTATATGGACGAAGAGAATATATAATATAATAACACAAATGTTTTGGTTTTACCCCCAAATAATCTCGCCAAAAATTCGCAATCCCTCCACTTCCCAAATGAAACCCGCTTAAAAATTCGGCACTCCCTCCACTTTTCCAAAATAAACCCGCTCAAAAATTTCGCGGCCCAATCCGTATCATCTGTGTATGTGTTCAACGCAGCCCCTCATTTAGCCCTAGCATCTATATCGCCGCACACCACACTCCCCCTCAAAACTAATCGCCGCCGGTAATTACTTTCACCCGGCCAGCAATTGGGAGTCTGACGCGGCCAGACTCAGCCATCGTCTTCCTCAGTAGCTACTTCTCAATTCCTATGTTTTTTTTTTCATTTTCTTTCTCCTTGTTCTCCTTGGGTTGCTGGGTACTAAATTCGCTTGTTCTTTTAAATGGCAAGTAATATTTCTCAATAATTTTTGAGATTATATATTCCGTGTTACTTGTGTGTTATTTCCTAGAGTATTATAATCTCTGTCACTGTGTTCGGATTTCACTACTTGTTTAATTTGTTTGATTTGAGATCCACAGAAATGATTTCACTCTCACTTATTCCTAACCCGTGTTTGTTGTAAATGGGGTTCAAATCGAGCTGCCTGGATTGCAAGTAACGAAATAAAATGGAGTTCAAGTCAAAGGACATCGAGCTGCCTGGATTAAATGGTAAGTAATGTTTCTATAACCATTTTTGCTATATTTCTCGTTGAAAAAATCAGATTTATTTTCAGATCTACCCAGTGCTCTTTTCTACAAACTTCAATTTCCTGTTGCTTTATTTTATCCGTGTTTATTTTGCATATTCAATTTTGTTTCTAGTTTTCTCATGAAGTTTATTGTCTTTGCAGAGATTTTTCATAAGTTGTGGGCTTGTGGCGATAACTTGAATCAGCACATTCAACTACAAAAAAATCCATCAAGCTAAAGTTTACTTCAGGATAACTAAGCTAGTTCATGTAGAGCCGTTCAAATGTGTACATTTTTAGTTATGTATTACTTGGATATGTGATTGTACATTTTAATGTAATTGATGTGTATTTGAGATTTTGGAAAGATTTCATATAGATTTTTAATATGGCGTGTTATTATTTACCAAGTTGTTTAATTTGTTTATGAATTATTGTCGATTGGGATTTTATCAACATTGAAATCTCAGTTTTGACTTCTAGATTCATTTTGGATTATTCAAATTTCTTTTAAAATTTTTATGGTATTTTTTTTTTTTTTTAAAAATATAAATAATTTAGTGACGGAATGTACTGGCTGAATATTTGTCACTAAATTTAGTGACGGATATGTTCATCATGAAGTTTCGTCATTATTTTGCGACGGAAAGCTATATCTGCCACAAACCTTATTAATGTCAAGATTTCAGTGGCAGAATATTGGCCACAAAAATCCGACACTGAGCTGATCTGTGGCAGAATTAGTGACGGATTTTCCGTCACTAAAATCCGAAATTCTTGTAGTGGTATTACATCCGGATTTATATAAACCATTGATTTACTGATTATTGTATACACGTAATTATCTCATTACGTAACTATGTTACATATCCCATTAATCCAAGACCGTGTAATACACATTTTGCAGTCAATCGCAAGATAGGGAACATAATTGACCCAGTGAACGAATTATGACTAATGTAGTTGTTAAAATAATCGGACCCATCCGACATGGTCCAGTGATATAGTATCGCTGGACCATTTCTCATTATCAAATAGTATATCCCACTGTCTTATCACCTGGATGTAGATCATAGTATTGTCCGAGATACCTATCACTACAAGAAATTTGGAATTTAATGACGGAATTCAGTGGCGGAACGTGATTCCGCCATTAAATAGTGGCGGACATAGTGACGGAATCGTATCCGCCACAAATTAATGACGGATTTCGTGGCGACTCTATTTCTGCCGGTAATTCAAATTTAGTGGCGAACAATAGTGGCGGATAGGATCAGCCGCTATTTAGTGACGGCAAATAGCGACGAACAAATATAGACACCAATTATTGACGAACTTTTGTGGCGGATTTGTCGTCATCAATCACCGGCAGACTTTTTCTGCCACAATAATCCGTCACTAAAAACTAAATTGTACAAGTAATTGCATAGGATGCTATCTTAATAAATTAAATTAGGATAATTAGCTTCTTTTATTCCAAACTATTATCAGATTCACAAATTTATCATACTCTTTCACTTTCATAAAAAAGACACAAAGTTCATCTTTT